CAGGTTGATCTGAAGCTGGAAAGATCTGTCCCTGACATCTACTACTACAGGGATCACCTGATGATTCCGAGAATTCKCGTGCGTACTGATGAAAGGYTTCAAGTTAAAGACAAGGTGACAGTGCACTTGGACCTCGACGATCTGCATCAAATGATAAAGGCTAAATATGACGGTCACTGGGATGCCGACATGGAAAGGGTATGATAATTTGATTGTGAAGAAATGCATCATCCAGTATTCTTTCCTCACAATGGTCCCTTTTCTCATATTAGGTAGATACCACTGTGTTTTAAGACTAAATACTCATAAAGTAGACAATGTGCAGCTTGAACATTAACAAAAGTTTTGAAATACCACGGACTTGACATCTATGAATGTTGACCTATAAATRAGGCTAAGCCTGTGCAAATGTGATCTYCAAAAACAGCATTTTTTTAAACTTTAATTTAAGTTCTCGATTTTTTCTTTCTTTCTTTTTTCTAACGAAAACAATGTTTTAGGGAATAACTGAAGAAGGTATTGTGGAATATATTGATGAAAATGGAGTTGAGGTTAAATTTAAAGCCCTGAAAGAAACTTTGCTGTTTCCCCATGAATGTCTCTCCAAGGTAAGAGTGTAATGTTGAAACGAATAGCCCACCCAGACTGATCATATGGTCTTCCGTGCAGGAAAAGGCATATCTTTTGCTCCAGGCCGAATTTGAGTAAGAACAATAGTCATTCAGACTGTAAATTTGTTTTTGGAGAAAGGATCTATCATGGCCATGCGTCTTTGCGCTCCCAATACTTGATGAGTAATTAGAAAAAATGTTGTACAGATGAAAATAGGAATTCAGTTACCTTCATYGGTCAGGTTATTGTCCATGCTTTTTTTAATAATGGTGGTGGCAACGGAAAGCTCGGGTCTGCTAACCATCACTTTCATCGTCGTCATCATCATCATCATCATCGTTGACCACCTTCATCACCATGGTATAGGTATCATCATAACCATCATATCATTGTCACCATTGAATCATCACCATTATCTTTAGGGACCGGTCATTATTTAAGTCGGAGGGAGGGGGGGGGGGGGGGCGTGGAGGAGAAAATGCCTGTGCTACAAAAAATTTCGAGAACCCCACCTGATAGCATTCAATTTTTTCGTCCCCTTCCAGATTGATTGAAAAATTCAGGACACCCCTCAATAAAAAATGATCGAGAATATTTTACAAAATGGCTATAATGGCAAGTCACAAAAACTCCTACCTCGCTTATTCACTATCACTGCCAAATGTTCCAACAACATAATCATCATCATCATCTGAGTCATCATCATTTGAATCTCTATCTGGAGTGTAATGCAAATTTTAATAGCCAAAA